ACGTAGAGTGACCACAGGTCCGGCGCCCACCTGTTCGAGCGCTGGTAGCAACTCGTCCTCGTAGTAATCCGATGGCAATCCCCGTATGAATAGCTCACAGCCCGGCGCCGGTGGTGTGAGTGGGCTGTACCGGCTGTAGATACGTTGCCCGTTGTGTTGAGTGATGTTGTGGTGCGGGTGAAGGGCCAGTAGGGCCTGTATTTCTGGCCCGTCTATGGGTTTTGTACACATAGTTATGAATTTTGCACAAATGAGTTGTTTTTTATTATAATACAAAAAATATAATTCAGTTTTTAAAATGCTATGTGTTTTCAAGTATTGTATTTGTTTTATTTTTTTGTTACATTATACGAGTTGTAATAGTATACCGCTTGTGGTGACCAATCGTTGATGTTCATTAGGAAGTGCTAGATGATTTTTGTTTATATTACAGTATATGTCCGATATAATGAACAATCTTTGTTTATTTAAATTTTATATACTTAATTTTAGATAACGATTAGTACAAAAATATTTATTTTTATATTTTATTAATGATTCTTATACTGGGTTAATTTACTTCAATAAATGACATAATGTGCCTGTTAATTATAGTTTATAATTAATTATATTATACCTAGATTTGTAGTGTACTTCATATGTTTTCTGTGGGTATGAAATATGATAGCAATGCTTATGTTAATTGAATGAATCATTTGTTTATTTATAAAATAATAATATGAATAAAAATTAAAGCAAAATATTTTAATAAAAATGTTTTAAATATTTTATGAATTAAACTAAAATTATATTTAAATTAACATAGAAACATTAGTTATAATAATTTAACATCTTTTGTATAATTGTTTGTCTGTTTGTCATTTTTATATTTATTAAGTTTTAAACTTAAGACGAATAAAATTTAATAACTAAACAAATATTTTATTTAAAAATAAGATTGTGCAATTTATTTTACTACACCATTTATAACATCTACTTTATATAAATAGTTTGGTCTTAATCAAAACCATCTGTGCGTCAAATTGGAAAATTATTTACATAGTTAATAGTTAATCACAATCATAAGTTACAATTATAAAACGCACCTTATTAAAGTATAAGGTGTCACAATAACTAAAATGCGTTTAGCAACAACCCTGATTATTGCGGTCGTATTGACCATTAGCACTTATACAGTGTTAGCTAATTTAAATCGTATGTATTAATATAAAAACATATTGAATACTAACATTATTTTAAAACGTTATTTAAAAACAATTTTAATTTGGTATATTTTTATTAATTTTTAAAATATATTATATTTGTTATAGCGGAGCAGAAAATAACCGACTTCACCGGCACATTCAAGCTCAATACTTCCAACAATTTTGACGAATTTTTAGAGGAGCTCGGTGAGTGTAAAAACATTTAATAAATCATCTTGTCACATTTATTCATTTATTAAACATATAAATCATGAAATAATACAATATAAACCATAAACAAAAAGATTGCCTTTAAAATCATTTTATTTACCTGTCTCGTTTATTTTACCATGTATGCAATTTAGGCGTAAATGTTGTACTAATAAATATGGCCAAGATGTCGACGCCCGTGGTTAACATCACCAAAGATGGCGACATCTATACTCTCAAGACAATCGCCGGCTTTAAGAACAGCGAGATCAAGTTTGAGTTGGGCAAAGAGTTCGAGGAGGCGCGCATGGATGGCAACACTGTCAAGGTGATTTATTTCATTATTTACTCTACACACCTACCCAATTACCATTATGACATAATCAGCTTGGTATCTTTACTAAACCTAACCTAACCTTATACCCCTTCATAATAAACTCTGAATATGTATGCGCTTTATTGAACTAGTATAATAATTTTTATAGTTTTTATATTTGTGTTAAATTAGACCGTGGTGGTGGCCGATGGCAACAAACTGATCCAGACCCAACACGGTAAAAAAGAAGTGAAAATTGTGCGCGAGTTCAATGGCAACGAAATGAAAGTGACCGCATCGGTGGGCAAAGTTGTCTCTGTCCGTACTTACGCTAAACAATAGAGGTGTTGGTGGTATGGGGTCAGGTTGTAGGAGTGATGGGTGTTAGGTGTGTTGCGGTTGAACCCCTTTTTCAACATTTATTCTATATCCAATTAATCATCAGTTTTTAGCACGAATAATAATCATGATAATATTTTTTTATTGTCTCTAAAATTATTAAATAAATTTTATTTAATATCTTTTGCAAAGTTTTAAATAAATCAATTTAAATCTAATTTAAACCCATATATTGCAATGACTGTCAACAGATTTTTCCCAAACTATTTTATGTTAAAGTCTAGAATTGTTTTTTAAATATATTTATAAATTTTACACAATTAATCTATTTTTATTTCAAGTAATAAAGCTGTAATAAGTTATTTCGATGTGTATTTAATTGTTA